CTAGATCCTCCAAAGCTTCCCTCTGTGTCAGTGAGTCCCTCTGCTGAGATAGTGGAGGGCAGTTCAGTGACTCTGACCTGTAGCAGTGATGCTAACCCAGCAGCTAAATACACCTGGTACAAGGAGGATGAAGACTCACCTAAAGCATCAGGACACAACTTCACCATCAGCAACATCAGACCTGAGCACAGTGGGAGTTATTACTGTGTGGCCCACAACAGCAGAGGACGTCATAATGTCACCTTACAGCTGACTGTCAGGGAAGGTACATTTTTTATTTCACTTACTCATTTGCTCATAGATGTCATAACCCACTATAGATAATAATGTGTGTGGTAGTAATGAGCAGCTCATGGCATTGTTTATAATCAGTGCATGGACACACTAAACAATAATAGCAAACTATTCACAATCACTGGGAGTTTAACTTATACAAATCTATTAATATGGTGAGATAACAATAATGCTCACAAAACAAACAAACAAATCAAGTAGTCCATCAATTACAACTTAAAAACCAGCAACATTTATATAGAAGAGAAAACAAAGCAAGGATTATTGTCTGTAATCCGTAATCTGGCTGCATATAAATACATGTTTTTATTTTTTATATTTGTTTTTAAATCACAGATTTCCCGCAGGCGGCAAAACTAGCTGTCACTGGAATAACTCTTGTGGTTTTCCTAGTTATTATATGCCTCTTGGTCTTTTTCCTGCTTGCGTGAGTATCTGCTGCACATTAAAAATCACCTTTGTTGGTGCTCAGATTGCTTACTTTTAATTAAGTTTTTCATTCCTCCCCCTGACCTAGAAAAAAGAAGCCCTCAGCATTATTTCCTGTGCCTGGAAACAGACGGGACAACAACAACAAGGTGAGCATTTAATAACTGAGTGTGAAATCCTGTGAAACTGCATTCCGGTTAAAATTCAATTTGAACAGTCAAAGTGAAGTTTAAAATTCCAAAACACCTGCAGAAGAAAAGAGTTGAGCCACCCCAATTAGACTCATCCTTAACAATGTTTTTGATAAACTCAAATGTGGCTGTAGTTCTCACAATATTCTCTGTAAATCAGAGTTTTCTGCTAAAAATGTCATGAGCAACTGAGACATTAATAATGTCCATTCAGGTGACATCACGACTGATAAACCACCCAGTGGTATCAGACCCCCTGCTGTCTGTGGCCATAGACGCACACTGATTTAAAACTAGCTTGGAATCTCTGGATGTCTAATCTAGCTGGCTCCATAACATTTCCTTGAACATTTTCTTGAACAGGTTTCCTGCACATCTCCAAGTCAGCACACAGGGAAGACAGAGGTAAGACTGAAAACCAGATCTGAACTGCAAAAGAACTTTATACTGAGAGTCAGGGTTGTTGAGGGGGAGCTCTGGGCAACGTTACTTATCTTAATTTAAATATGAGTATGAGTATGCTTATTTATCCCAAAGTTGGTCAATCTTTATAACATGAATATTTATAAACATAAATAAGTAAAATGACTGTAAGTAGAGCAAATGAAGGAAATCAGCCAAAGTTCAACAGGTTTCTGAACTCTTGTGTTTTTTCAGTCTCCACCCAGTCACTCAGAGGAAGATGAAGAGCTTAACTATGCTAGTGTCCGATTCTCAACGAACCAGACTGATCCCATTTATTACAACATCCGATCAGCTGGATCCCGCAGACAAAAGGTGAAAGAGGAGGATGAGCATGTAGAGTACGCTGCAGTCAACTTCAGTCCTGCCCTGAGGTAACCAGCACTAAGAATTTCAGTTGTATAGATGCATGCATCCATGTAAGGAAATCCAAAAACGTAACATTTACAGTGGGAAAAACATTTCATCCAACTGACTTCATAGCCTGAGGGTAACCGCTGTGGACTTTAGTGATTCTCTGACCGACCTGGCCTGCTGCTTTATACACTAGAAACATGAACTTGGGCACACATATTACAGCACGCCTCCTTCATCCATCCTATTTTTTTTTCTCCAGAACTGTACACCAGGACAGTGAGGAGGATCTGTCTGAATTGTACAGCACAGTCAAGAAAATCTGATAAAAGCAAAAGGAAGCCGAACTGTGGACCATTCTTTAATTGTCAGTTCCTAATAGAGCTACTGGACAGTAGATATGATTCTACAATATAATTTTGGTCAGGCGTTCATTGTCCCCTGGGGGTAACCGCTGTGGACTTGATTGTCTGATTTCATCTGAAGTTTTGTACTACACCTCTAGTTTTAACTTCAACTGATATTTCTTCAAAAGAGTGTCCAGATGTTTGGGGAGTAGAGGTTATTTTGTCATTTTCTTTGAAACTACTTGTTCAACACTGGAAAAAACAACAAGTCCATTCAAGATTTTTCAGGTTCTTAAAGTTTGGTACAAATATTCAGGTTATCTGTTGCTGTCTATTGCCAAGATTTAGTGCAAACCTTCATGTCCATCTTCTGATCCACCATCAGGCAAAAAATTCATCTCACACGTTTGTTGGAAGTCATGTATACTTGACTAAAATGTATATTTCTTTTAGTTTCATGAGACATAGGAAATGTTTTTGCACTGCAGCACTGTATGTAATAGCTAATACATGGTAAGCTTGTATTTATTAATATTATTAATATTATTGTTGTTGTAATACATCAGTATGCTGAGTTAAAGAGCACCGAGTTATTGGAAAAGAACATGCGTCCTGTTTCCACTCCATAGTAGTACAGAATAATATTTTACACACTTTCCACGATTCACTTTAGTTCTGTCTGTTTTATATTTTGTCTGCATCATTCCTGCTCTCAGTTGTTTAATTGTAATTTGCTTAAAGTAAAACCATCATTATTTAAAAGAACTCTTCTGTTTCCTGTTGTTAACTCTGATGGCGGTTTTGAATGTTGTTTTAAATGCATTCTTTTCACACTGATTGTTTATAACATGCTTTACAAATAGAATAATCTTTACATCTGAGTTCCCGAGTTCATGTTTTTTTGTCAGATATTTCTGTTTCAAAGCATTTCTTGTGTTATTTCTTGTATTATATTGTAACCATGTGCCTTTGTGTGCTCATGTTAGTTTTTACTTCATCTGTTAGCTTTTGTATTTTGTATATGGTGGTGCAGGGGTTAGCACTGTGTACTCTGGCTTCCTCCTACAGTCTAAACACATGCAGTAAGCGGGGTTATGGTGATTTGAAATTGCTCCTAGGTGTGAATGGTTGTTTATCTCTCTGTATTAGCCCTGCTGGTGACCTGTTCAGGGTGTACCCTGCCTCTCGGCCTATGGTAGCTGGTATAGGTTTTAGTCCCCTTGTGACCCTGATAAGGGTAAGAGGATGGATTGATGTTAGTTTTCTGTCATTGTTGTTGACCGTCCTGAATAGTTTGTTGCTGAATACTCAGCTCCATCAGATCATCACTTACCCCAGTACTTCCTTGCCACCCTGTTTCTTAATTTGTCGTCATTTTTCATTTCTTATCTTCCATGTCTAGAGGTTGTTTTGTGTCTGTGACTTAGGTTTTTTTTCTTTCTTTTTCTTTTGTTCATTGTTCTGCTGCATGATCACCAGTACGTGACCACTTCCTGGATTTGACTAAAGGTTTGGAACCACACCTGTTCAAGTAGATGGAACAGTAGATAAATAAGAAGTCGGGGGAAGTCTAATGTCAAACCCATGTGTTATGCAAATGAATAACAGATAGATTTCAGTACACCTATTAGTAATGCAGCACATTGTTAAAGGGCATAGGGCCAAGTATAGAGTCACAGATTCATTTTTTCTAGTTGTGAAACTATGTAAATACAAATCTAACAAGACGTTTCCTGTACAAAAAGGGCAGGAAAAGAAATGTTATGAAGCTTGCATCTCTTACCAAGTTGCCTTTTCTTGCCTTTTACTGGCACGTTGTTTATTCTGCAGAGAGGTAAAGAGGAAGGATTTAGCAACATCTTAATCTCTTTGAGTGTTTGAAGTGATTAATCATTTGTTCACTGTTTACTTTTAACTTCTTGTATTGTCACTAAAATCACCGAGAAAGCAGCTGTAAGTCTGACAGCAGCAGAGAGTGGATGTATTGTTCTTGTCCTCTTAGTGTCCCGTCAGTCCATCCATATTTACACTGAACAGCACTTAGCCTTGTTATTCACAGCTGGTTTAATGTAGATTACAAAAATGAACCAGCCCCGTTCTATGATGACTGCTGAGCAGGTGTGTGTCTGTGCATTACTGCCTCGTTCATGTATCATTACAGATTATGTTTAATCAAATATTTCATTCAAACTGTTTATATATATCTGTGTGTGTGTGTGTGTGTGTGTGTGTGTGTGTGTGTGTGTGTGTGTGTGTGTGTGTGTGTGTGTGTGTGTGTTCACATGATGTGATGGCTCCTGACACCAATCACAAATACAAATAAAAATGCAATCAGGTACATCCCACAGTGGATTTAGTTCTTGTATTATGAAGATAAAAGTATTAAAATAAGCGTCGGTGGAGAGTTTTCTACAGTCGCTGGTTTTACTGCAGGCCTGTGCATGTTATCATGTCTGTGGTCTTATTGAAAATTGCACAAACAAGTTACAAATCACTTCCTGTTGCTCTGCATGCATCACTTTTCTTCTTTCACCACAACGAATATGACATGTTTCTAAGTCACACATCAAGCATGTCTCATTACTATCTTGTTAATCTTCCCTTTCACTCTTGTTGTTATTCATCTGTCACAAATTACTCCACCCAGCCTGCACTCACTTCTTCATCTCTATTGTGCAGTGTTCATTTCATGGCTGACCCCAGGTGTTCATATTCATCCACCTTCACTATTGCTTTTGTGATCCTTGCACGTTCACCTTTCCACCCGTCTCCCTCTCATTTATACATGTATTTTGTCTTGTCTCCACTGACTTTGATTCCTTTTCTCAAACCACCAGCAAGGTGAGCAAGGTACCATCCCTACACACTGCTTATTGGCTGCCCACGGCTCCACTGAGTGACTGGGTCAAATAAGTAATAATTCAAGCTGGTCCACTCGTTTCTCATGTGTTTATTTTCTATGTCATTAAAGATGTTTGCCGTACAAACATTCCACCGTTGAAAAAGAAAAGTTGGACCAGTACTCAACTTTGATCTCTCAAAGGACTTTTTACATTTTAAGTCTTATTCTCACACACACACACACACACACACACACACACACACACACACACACACATCTTCATTACACTGCACTTGCTTGTCCTTTAAGATAAATTGATCTTAATCTGTGTTAAACAGCGAGACAACTTTAGAGGTGAAAATAACATCATTCATGCGGTTATCTACCAAGTCAGAGCCAACAAGAAGAGCACTGAATCAAGAAATCATATAAATAGAATCTGTCAGACAAAGTGAAGTAGGCTACAAGATCAAAGAAGGTCAGAAACCATCTAAAGAAATTCAAGGACAGATTTAAAATACAATCATTCATATCTATCGGTTTGTTAAGCTTTACAAAGCCTAGGGCTTTGGGACTCAAGTGAACCACAGAGAAAACCATTATCTACACACAGAGGAAACTGGGAAGAGTGGTGAAACTTCCCAGGAGTTGCAGGCTAAAATGACTTCATGAGTGCACTGACTACTCATCCAGGAGATCATGAAAGAACCCAGAGAAACATCTGAAGAACTCCAGACATCATTTTTGACCAGGACATGTCCTTCAATGCACATATTAAACAAATATGTAAGACTGCGTTCTTCCATTTGCGCAACATCTCTAAAATTAGAAATATCCTGTCTCAGAGTGACGCTGAAAAACTAGTTCATGCATTTATTACTTCCAGGCTGGACGACTGCAAATCATTATTATCAGGATGTCCTAAAAACTCACTGAAAAGCCTTCAGTTAATCCAAAATGCTGCAGCAAGAGTCCTGACAGGGACTAGAAAGAGAGAGCAGATTTCTCCTGTTTTAGCTTCCCTTCATTGGCTTCCTGTTAAATCCAGAATTGAATTCAAAATCGTGCTCCTCACATACAAGGTCTTAAATAATCAGGCCCCATCTTATCTTAATGACCTTGTAGTACCATATCACCCTATTAGAGCACTTCACTCTCGCTCTGCAGGCCTACTTGTTGTTCCTAGAGTATTTAAAAGTAGAATGGGAGGGAGAGCCTTCAGTTTTCAGGCCCCTCTTCTGTGGAACCAGCTTCCAGTTTGGATTCGGGAGACAGACACTATCTCTACTTTCAAGATTAGGCTTAAAACTTTCCTTTTTGCTAAAGCATATAGTTAGGGCTGGACCAGGTGACCCTGAATCCTCCCTTAGTTATGCTGCAATAGACGTAGGCTGCTGGGGATTCCCATGATGCATTGAGTTTTTCCTTTCCAGTCACCTTTCTCACTCACTATGTATTAACAGACCTCTCTGCATTGAATCATATCTGTTATTAACCTCTGTCTCTCTTCCACAACATGTCTTTATCCTGTCTTTCTTCGCAGCAGATGGCCCCGCCCCTCCCTGAGCCTGGTTCTGCCGGAGAGTTTTTCCTTCCCACTGTCGCCAAAGTGCTTGCTCATAGGGGGTCATATGATTGTTGGGTTTTTCTCTGTATCTATGAAGCACCTTGAGGCGACTTTTGTTGTGATTTGGCGCTATATAAATAAAATTGAATTGAATTGAATTGAATTTTCCTCTGTTATGGTCAGATTTCGTGGTTCAACAATAAGAACGAGACTGAACAAAAATGGCATCCATGGCAGAGATCCAATAAGAAAACCACTGCCACAATAACTTGTCTCACATTTGCCACAAAACATCTGACTCCAGGGAAAATATTGTGTGGACTGACGAGACAAAAGTTAAACTTTTTGGAAGGTTTGAATCCTGTTACATCTGGTGTCAAATTAAAAGCATGTTATAAATCAACATCATAAAAACAGTCAAACATGGTGGTGTTAGTGTGACGGTCTGGGCTGCTCTGCTGCTTCAGCTTTCTACCAGAAAATCTACCAGAAAGTGATGGCATAATGAAAGTCCAGACCTAAAGCCAATTAATATGCTTTGGATTGGACTTATTGGCCATTCATGATCGTAAAAACTTCCAGTGTGGCTAAATTAAACAATTCTGCAAAGAAGGGTAAGCAAAAGAATTCCTCCACAGTAATGTGAAAAACAGTTTATGGGGTTTTCAAATAGGGTCAGGTAGGTTTGAATAGCCTTTTACCCCTTAATAAAAAGATAATTTAAAAAAATGCATTTTATAATTACGTGTATTTTCTTTGTCCAGCATAAAAATTAAGTTGATCTCAAACATGTAAGTGTGACAAATATTCAAAACAAAGAATAATTACACATCTCTCTCTGCGGTTTATACTTCTTCATTCTTGTTCAAAGTTATGGTAACTGGCAAGACTCTCACTTCCCTTTTCACAGAGAAAACTAAATATAGATTGAAAGAATACACAGTACACAGTAAGTTGAGCATACAAAATGATTTCCTTTTTTTTTTTGCCACAAAATTGTGTGCGACAGCTGCCCTGACACCTCTACAGCCTGCAGGCGTTGACCGACAGTTCGTTGGCAGTGTCGCTTAGACTCCTGCATTTAGCTTGCAGGCTGGGGTGGCTGGAGCACTCTGCGGGTGAAGGCCAGCGCTCCACCCAGGTGTCCTTCCCCAACACGTAGATGAACCTGACACACAAAATGAAAAAAGAAAGAAAGACAGATGGCAAGTTAACAAGTAAGAGCACCCAAGTGTCTCATAGTAAACTTGTCCTGTCATAGTTCCCAATTTGAATCAACACAAAATTATTTGTAAGCATTTATTTTTCCTGTTCTGCTCACTTGTTGGTTTCAGTATCAACATTCCACTGGTCGTCCTTGGGGCCAATGATGAGGTATTGGGAGCCCTGCTTCAAGTCTAGTCCATCTCTGCAACCTCCGTGAGACATGAAGATCCTCGTCTGACCCGCTCCAACTCCACCCTCCAGACCTGAGTGGGAGAAGAACAAATATAATAAGCCTTCATTTGTCTTTGAGTTACAAGAATGCACAAGCAGCACTTCATAAATGGGGTCACCAAATAATGAAAAAGTTAACTGGACCACATCATTCCTCCATTGCTCGCACTGAAAAGACTGAGAGGTGAAAGCCAGTCACTACTAGGACTCACCCAGTTTGATAACTTGTGTGATCTCCATCTCATATTTGTCGTAGTAACTCTGGATGACATTCAGCACCTTCACCTGGAAAACTAAAACATAGTAGCAACCAAACCTGAGCATCATGAGCAAATTACTGTAAAATTAATCGGACTCTTAAATGGGTGAGGCACTGTTTCCATATATTAATAGTAACTATTTCCACGACAAAATAATAATAGCATTACTAACAAAAGGGGGAGGTGACAGTTTCCCACCCTTTTCCAGTAAGATACTAAACTGAAATTCTGTATGATGCCCTGGGGAGTTGCTATATGAGCGATTCATGGTCCACATGGTAAATGAGAGAAAAATAAAGCAGGAGAGCAATAGTGCCATCAGCTAAACTTTCTTTACAATGTTTTAAATATTACAGTTTCTGTGAATGCTCACATTATGCTTCCATTTATTACTCAAACAACATATTATTTGTTCCTACTCTAACAGCTGATTCGCTGCAGGGCTTATGTCATTGTTACTGCTTGAATAAGGGCATTTAATGTGGCTTCTTTTATTTCTATAAATATTAAAATCTTAATCTCTTCATCTAGCGGCAGTTTTGACAACGTACATCTGAATATTTTTAAATCATTTGAATGGCAGTCAGCCAATGAACATGCAAAAGTGTAAGCCTCCAGTGTGCAGGCATGCATGTTAAAGGCGCCGGAGTGTAAAAGCACATGTACCATGGTGTAAGCTCTTGCAGGCAAACGTCTCTCTTTCTTTGCTGGGGAAGTTTTCACTGTCCGCTTTGGAGATGCAGCAGTCACCTGGAGGTTTTGAAACCACGGGAGGTCAAATGTGCAGAGGTGGAAAAGAAATACACACATCCTTTAATGCATTGTTGCAAATCCCATACTTTACCCTGTGTGCAGCGGCAGACGTTGTTTCTGCAGATCTGGCTGAGCTGCTCCTTGTTCTCACGGGGGGTGTAAGTACGACTGCAGCGGCGGTCTGTGACAAAGTGAGAGGGGAGAAATCTAAAAGCTTTAATATTATTATTATTTATTTATCTTGGTTTTATGTGAAATATAAGGATGCAGTACAACTTGGCCACTTGGTTGGCTGCTCTCAGCCATGCAACATATGGTCACCTGCTCATCCCAGTGAGCTAAACTGCCGTTCCTTTTATAAGTATTTCTTATAATACTGTATCACAGAATCTCTGATTTTTATGTCTACAGCTGTATTTCCCAACCTGGGTTGTAATACTCGTAAACAGTCACTGAGGATGGCTGCAGGAGGCCAACTTTGAAGGTCTGCTGGAGTCTGAATATTAGGATCTCAGGCTCTTTGTGAGAAACCTACAAAGAGAAACAATGCAGAGCAGGGGGAATGTTATAAGACATACTTCTTAAAAATGGTACATAAAACTGACTTAAACTGGACAGATTTTAACTCCTCATACTCTTTCTTCCTGTAATCCAATAAATGAGACAGTGGTCTACAGCACAGTTACCTTAAACAGGTGGATGATCAGGGATCCCCTGTCACTCAGGTTATCTACTATCTGGAAGTTGTTGATGTAATGATCCACTGAGTTGGACAACTAGAGACAAACATGTTCAGAATTTATTAGTTCAATTTAAACAGAAATAAAATGCTGCCGTGTAGAAAACATTCTATAAAATTGTATTTAAAGTGTAAATTCACAATGCAATGCTGTATTTATTACCGAAATATGTTAAACCCATTACAGCCTTAGGTGATGCAGGGGTCAAACAAGTGAGCTGAGGTGTGCTTTTTGGTGTGATACTGATAAATTACAGTAAAGAAAATTGAGCTTGCAGCTTAACTTTTTCACAACACGCACAGAAAAAAGTTTGAATAAAACAAAATAAAATAAATGTAAAATAAATTCAGGTTTACTCTGTGTAAGAAAGCTAAAACTAAACTTGGATCATTTCTTAGCCATGAAAGCTTTGTTTCAGATTTTTGAAGCACTGGCCTAGAGGCTGATTACCATCTCCAGGTCTGAGTTTTCTGGGGTGAAGCCAGTGGGCAAACTGATGTCAAGAACCACCATCCTGACATCTCTGGGTCCTAAAGCCCTGTGAAAGAAAAGCAGAAAGCACTGACAAAGGATATGAAATCTAAATCTGAAAGGACCCAAATGATCTGATTAACCTCATGAGAAATGTGAGCAGTTGTTCTGAATCACTGGAACAATAACTCACATTCAGTGGACCAAATGTTCAAAGAAAATTTATTACGATCACACAGACTCACATTTGGCAGTTTTTGTTTAAAAATGTGGTCGTCCCATATTAAAAAGTTGACTGTTTTTGCTGTTTGCTACACTTTGTATGAAGTAAAAGATATAAAAATACACCTTTTTTTTCTTATTCTCTAAAATTTAGCAAGTAATTGTATCTTACCTCACTTTGATGGTGATCTGATAGGACTTTTCTACATCTGCTGGAGGCTTTTCTGTTATGAGATGGAGGAAGAAGTGTTATTAAATATGTAATCCATAAAGCTTGCTGAAGATACTTGGTTGGTATATGTATTGATAGTTTTTTTTATGTATATGTTTTTCATATTGCAGTTGCTGTCTTTTCTACTGTTTTTAAAAAAAAAATCAGATGTTTGATTTCACACTACATGCCGTTCATGATTGAAACCTCCCATTTACTAGCACACTGGCTTTTACCTCCCAAGGTAGGGTTTGTGTCCCCTCCAGGTCTTGAACTGGGGATCTTTCATATGTAGCAAGTTTTAAAATTATTTTTTAAAAAGCCACATAAATGGTCCTCCTTGGGGCCTATGATGTTTGTATTAATGTACATACATCAGTATTTTAAATGGTATTTCAGCCATTCCCAAAATTAAGAATAGAGAGATTTTCAAAAATCTTCTCCAGCCCACGTACACCTTAAAATCAAACTCTGACCACACACCAGCCTGAGAGGAGTTTCCTTCTTTGTTTTTATGTGAAACCTCGATCTGTTGATGACTGACTGTTTAAAGCTGATTCTCCAGTAACAGCTCTCTTTTTCCCACCTAAAAGCTACTGTACAATTTGAATTCTTTCTGTACCAGTAATGACATATATAACATACACTCCAGATTCCATTAAAACATTAAACAAATAACATGTTTGTGTTATGGCAGGCTTGTAGTTTATAGTTATTTAAAAAAAGTTACATTTGTATCTTTTGAACTAAGTCCTGTTTTATCTTATTTCAAAATATCAAGGAAATGAAACGTGCTGAAATGTGTTTCATCATTGTTTGACCCTTATAATAACTTAAACCCTAACACCTTACAAGAACATAAATACAGCTGGTAAAATAAGTATTCTGTCCCAGGGCAGCTGTGGCTACAACTGTAGCTGCCTCCACCAGTGTGTGAATGAATAGTGGAACTGTAAAGCGCTTTGGGTGCCTTGAAAAGCGCTATAGAAATGCAATCCATTATTATTATTGTTATTGTTATTGTTATTGTTATTGTTATTATTATTATTATTTAATGTGTCACCATTTTTCCAAGTAAATATATTTCTAAAGGCACTATTGACATGAAATTATAGCCACATGTCAGTAACATCCCAACACACCAACTGACATGTATTTAATGCCTCAAACAAAATTCTTTGTTGGTGATGAGAGCTTCAAGACGCCTCCCGAATGGACACGCTAGTCACATGCAGTGGTCAGGTGTGATTTGTTTCATTTTTCCACACAAAAAGTCTTCAAATCTTGAGGTCTCTGTGGGCTCCTTCTCTGAACTCGTTCAGTAGATTTCTCAGCTGGATTCAGGTCAGGTGATTGGCTGAGAAACCAGCTGAGAGTTTCCTTGGCTGTGTTTGGGATGACTGCCTTGCTGAAACATCCACCCTCGTTTCATCATCATAATCCTGGTGGAGGGCTGCAGATTTTTATCAACAGTGTTATAATACATGTTTCTGTAATATATTGGTCTAATGTTACCTGTATAATTCATCTCATCATTCATCTAATTCATTGTTGGTATATGGTGCTTTTGGTGCTTTCCTTTTCCTCTGAAAATATGCAGTGCCCTTTGACCTCGTAACATTGTGTGTATTATGGTGTCAAAGGTCAGTTTTGACCACACTATAGTCTCCCAGTATATCACAGGCTTGTCTAAATGCTGTTCAGCAACTTTGAATTCAATATGCTTTTTCCTCAGAAATTGAGTGTTGCATGGTGAGCGTTCATGCAGGCCATGGTGGTTGACCGATTTTCTTTTTTCTGTAGGTCTCTGTAACTCCTCCTTGGCTTTTAGACAACTCTTCTGAATTCTTTTCACTCCTCTGTCTGAAATCTTGCAGGGAAGAGCTGGTCCTGGCCGGTTTGTTGTGAAGTGGTGTTCTTCCCACTTCCACATTATGGCCCCAGCAGTGCTCACTGCATTCTTCAGTAGTTTAGAAATTCTTCTGTGACCAATGCCATCAGTATGTTTTCCAACAATAAGGTTGTTGTATAAAACCCCTGTGATTTGTGCATATACTGTAGACTGTTCCACAGACACCCTCTAACCACTGCTAAGATGGTACATTCCTCCCATCCTTTGTTTGTGTTTGCGCTGGTTCACCGTGATAGCGCTGGTGGAGCTGGGCTGTTGTATTGAACATGTGTCGTGCGTGTGCGTGAATGATAAGTAAGTGCCTTGTATTTGTTTTTTCTATGGTTGTAACTTATCATACACTTGCCTATGTACATTGTGTGATGCCTTTATAGAGTTTTCCAGCGGTTTGTGTAGCCACGAGACACTGTATATTCACGCTGATTTGACCAAAATGGCGCTACCCTTGTGAACTGAGCTGCCCAAAGTAAAGATGGAGTCTATCCCTGTGCAGCAGCCCATTTGTGTCCACCAGGGGGTGGTGTTTAGTTATTTCTGTTCAACCCTTTCTGTATTATTTAGACCAGTTTGGTTGACTTTAATTGTTTGCTAATTGTAATTTCTGTTATTTTACAGAACCACACACACACATACATATACTCACACGAATTCACTTCTGGAGATGTTTTGGATTAAAGGAACCCTAATTCTCATTGCTGTGGACCCTCTCTTTCATCATATAAGTCACCGGTGCCTTCTGACCGAGGATAGGAAAATCCTGCTGTAATTTGCCAGTTTATTAAGCACACACATGTCCAGTTCAAGTGGTCCTTCGAGCCGGATTAATTACAGCATTTCCTAACATGGCGACATCCCGATATGATGAAGAACAACAAGGTGCCCAGCAAAGGAGACCACATAGGGCTCCAAGATATCTGGATGACTTCATCTGGACCTATCCCCCACAGCCAACTAACCCAGTTCCACCGAATACTAACGCAGCTACTCCAATACACCAAACCGCTGGCATCGACGGCTCACCAGAGATGGAGAGAATAAGGAGGATGGAGCAGTGTGTTACTCAGGTACAGGAGCAGATGAGGGAGATACAGAGCGCTATACAAGTGTCTTTGAACTTTGGCCAAAGAACCCCCCAAGTACAGTTACAAACCCAGGTCCGGAGCCATAGTATGCCTTTACTAACTGTGGATAATAATCCTACACAAGCTCCTCCTATGGGCGGACTAGAAAACAT